TAAACTTTAATAGAATACTATTCTTTTTCTATTTTGTTTCCTGTTGTTTTACATTCTCTTTTATTTTTTTTTTTTTTTTTTGAAATTCAATTCGATATAAAAGAGAAACAAATATTTTGTCTCAACAACGAATAATTTATACGAAAAAAAAATGTAATAATTCATATGAAAAAAAGAAAAGAAATTTCATCAGTTTCATTAATAAAAATGAAAATGAAAATTATTTTTTGTTTCATTTTCATACAATGATCATTGAAACCAAAAAATGAGAATAAATTATCAATGTTCGTAGACGAAAAAAAAATTTGACCATGTTTTGAAAGAATTTTTTTTTCGTGGAAAAGAATGTTTCAATGAATATTGTTTTTTTCTTCTTAAAATATTCAACATTTCAATTTTCATGCAGTAAAATTCATATAGTTGAAGTTAATTTTTGAAAAATCTTAATTAAACAACGTTTTTTTTTTGTTGGTTGGGTTGTCATTCTTGTCATCTTGATGTTTCTTGAAACAAAAAAGTTGAAAATCTTATTATTAGCCATTTGCATGATGTTGTTCGACATCAAACAAATGTGAGAAAAAAAAATTCTAATAAAATAAATTTATAAAAATCAACCGAGAATGAATTCAAATTAAGAAGAAGAAGAACATTCCGATAACTAGACAGTTCGATTTCAATACAACTCTTGTCTCATTTGGGACAAAGAACTAGAAAAACACAAAACTGAGTGATAGGAAAATGAAAAAGAAAACATGGTTAATTTACAAATATTTGTAAGAACAAGGAAACAAATTACCGTTAATAAGAAAATGTTGAAACATGTGAAAATGTTCTTTTCTGGATATATTTTTATATAACAGAGAAAATTTATCACCATATTCATTCATTCATTCATTTGTTGTCACAACACAGACAGACAGAAAAAAAAGGGTTCTATCGATTTCACAAAAACAAAACGATGTTTTCACGATGATAACATTGATGACATGATTTTACTTTGTGTTCCAGAAAAATTCTCAATGGTCTATGATTTTCATTTAAGTTTGTCGAATGTTTGCCGCCATGATCATCATCATCATCATCATCAGAATCAAAATGATGTACAAAAAGCTCATTTGATAAAAATTAATTCAATTAACTATGTTGTTATATGGTTTTTCTTTTTTTCTGTCGTATAATTTGTTCAAATTTTTTGTTCGTTTGTTTTGTTCATTTTCTTCAATTGTCTCATTCATTGTGTGAAGAATGGAAAAATAAATGGCTAGATGAATGAACAAAAAAGTTGTTGTTGTTGTTGTCTTACTTAAACAATATATAATTCAACCTTAATCGCTTTGAATTTTATTCTTTCGTATTCTTCTATAATGATCACATATGAAAACAATAACAAATGTTGACATTTTTTGTTGTTGTTGTTGTTGTTGTTTTGTTTGGTTCCACTCTCTATTCGTTGTATAAGTTTTACTTTTATAAAGTCAGAGATTTAAGAAAAGATGTGTGCGTGTCGATTCATTCTTATGATGATGATTATGATGACAACAGAAGCCAAGATGATCACATCTTAAGAACTTTGAAGAAAAAGAAGAATAAGAATAAGTTATTTATTTTGATGTATAGATTGGATCAAGAACCACACAATTTTTTTCATATTTGTTTGAGGCTAAATCAACAACAATTCATCCGAAAGAAGATTCCAAAATAAGCCAATTAGTTTTGTCTTTTTTTTTCGTTAGAGGATATAGTTTCATTTATTCAGTATAAAGCTTATCACAATATAATCAACATTATGATGAATTCATATTCATCTAGTTTGAATGATAAACTTATTAGCAATAGCAGAAAAAAAAAATTTGGAAATGTAAAGGATGATAATAATAAAAATGTCTATGATGATGATGATGATGATGATGATGATGATGATGAAAATAATTGTTCAGAAATCAGATATTCGGAATGCAATTTGAGAATAAAATACGATTGATTTTCGGGTTGTTCAAACAGGCAGACATCAACAGAATTTGTGTTATTCTGAAGTCAATTTTCAAATGATGATGATGAATTTATTTTCAGAATCTGATTTTCATTGAATCATTTTCTTTGTTGATCATTTTATTTTTGGAACCAAAAGATAAAAAACATAATACAAGATGATGTTGATGATTTTCGAATTATTTCATTTTGTATAGTGGTAACAGTGACAGCAAAAAGGTAGTAGCAACAGTAGCAGTTCGGTGTGTTCCAAGAATCAAGAATAGATAACTATTTAATTTGCTGCTAGCAATCGAACTTTTTTTTGCCATTTCGTTGGTTTTTTCCTTTTCGATGGAAAAAAATGGGTTTTTCGGAACTTTCAAAATTTCCTTTTCATTTCGTTCGCAACTAACTTACCAGTTGTATGTATGTTGTCTGTTGTTGTGGAATTTAATGTGAGAATATTTATTCTTGTAATGTTTTTTTTATTTTCCAGTTCAGTTCAGTTCATATTGATGAAAATAAAACAAAAAAAAATGTTTGTCCAACTTGTTACCGGTATTTGTGAACAACAATAGCAAATTATGAATTTTTATCAAAAATCCGTTTGGTATGCGTCCATTTTGTGTTTGTAGTATCAATTCTTTGTTGTTGTTGTTTTGTTTTTTATTGACTACGACGATCAACAAACCTCGAAAATAACTGCCAAAATAAGTGTTTCATTCATATTTGATGATAATTAATCGTCCGTCATACAAAAAAAAAAATATCTTTCGCTCTCTCATTCGATATTTCGAAAAAAAACATCAATATTTTTTTTTTGATTTGGTTTGGTTTGTTATTATTATTCGAATCTATTTTTGTTTTGAATGTAGAATATTTGTGAATGTGACTTGTCAATTAATCAATTCTTTCTTTCATAACAATTAACTATTATTAATAATGATCAATTCTTAGTGTTTAACAAAGAAATAGAACACGAAAAATAAAAGAATCTATTGATCTTCGAAATGAAAATAGCCACCAAAGATTTGTTTGCCATTTTTTTTTAAATTTATC